TTTGTATTTTTGTATTTTTGTATGTTTGTAATGAATAAACTCAAAAACTACTGGACCGATTGCAATAATTTTTTCACCATTAGAAAGCTGCATTATTCAGAAGTAACATAGGCTATATAATATCACGCTAGGTCTTATAGTTGTGGAGCAGTAACCAAAAATGTTTTAAAAACGGGGAAAAAGTATCGTTTCTGAGGCCTTCCGTGGCGTGCGCTGAGCATATAGTTAAAGTTATACAAAAATGCTCTATGGATGAATTGTTCATCTTAACATTATTTTTAAAAAAGTCCGCGAGAGCATATGTCTACCTTTTATAGTTTACCCATAACAATAGTTTAAATGAATGGTTCAATCCTTATAAAAGTTTGCTCTAGATAACTTTTGAATTGTTCAATCGGTTACCTAAAGACTATTAATTCATCCAAAAGGTACCTATTAGGTAAGTACTTATGTACTATTTCAAAAATAATAAACTGAGAATAAATTAAATATAAATAAAACGTAAAACTATGTAAAAAATCTTAAGTCCCCCCGTGCGAAGCCGGGACGGGCCGCTAGTGACAAATAAAACAGATAGATGTATTATGGTAATAAGCTATTTTATAAATTGTCGCCGTCATCGCTATCGCTGTCCTGTCACTTCTGAAAACCGACGCGGTTGACGAAAACTGCTGGCAAAAGTCAGTTAGAGATGAAAGTGTATGATGTAATTCTTACCTTATTCTTTCCTTGTATAACATACTACAGGATGATAGCATGGGTGAATAAATAATGAATTAATGAGTGCATCAGTGTATTATCAGTGATAAACGAAATTAAGAACAGTTGGGTAGTTGACAACTAGTCAAATTCAATGCTTTTATCGAAACGTCAAAAACGATACTGTTCTATGCATTTTGTACGAAATACCATCTTATGACGTCATCATATTTTCGCGGCAAATAGCACACAAAAAAAAAATGCGAGAATAAATCGAAAGTGAAGTATATCGGCAAATCAATGAATGAAAGTGTATATAACTATTTTTCAATATTTAATTGGACTGAAAAATCTAAATAATTTATTTTTGAACCAGGAAACTACCCAATTGGATATTTGCAAACTAGTCAAATTCAATACTTTATTCTAACTGTCAAAACGACAGTTTTCTATAAATTCAGAAGCCTTAGTACGAGTTTGATTTACGTTTAATTTATTCGAAACGAGTTCGCATTCAGCGCTCTGATTGGCCGGCGTCAATGAAGCAACCAATCACAACGCCGAACGCGTACTCGTACGATTACTTTAAACGTACAACAAACTCATACTAAGGCCTCTGTACGAGGCTGTGTATTGTGACATCAAGTTTTTTTAGCGCCAAACATCATACTTATTTCGTAAAAATTTGCTAGAAAAATGTTAAATTGAGTTGGTCATAAAATCAATTAATGAAAGTGTGATTATTTTTTAAATATTTCATTGTATTGAACAGTCGAAATAATTTATTTTTGATTAAGGAAAGTACCCAATAGAATTAGGTATTAAAATGATTTATTTACGTACTTACGAATACTGTAAGGCTACTCAATTTTAAATTGTACTTAAATATCGTGCCGTCTCTGTCATTTTACAAGGAATTTGTAGAGACAGAACTATACTTAAAACGTTTATTATGTCACTATAAGGTATAACATAATGTTATAGAGGTATATGTGGTGTGTAAAGTGATTAATATGTGCAGCTCTGCTTATCACTTGAGGGAATAAAAAGCGTGATGTAATGATTAAGATTTGTTTTTATATATACTTAAAGTACAACAAAATAAACTATTTAGTATGCAGGTAAAAAAAAACTAAAAATGTTTCAGTACAAAGACAATAACTATTGGTTGTGTACTGTCGACCAATGGTAAACAATATGGCTTCAGTTTTATACTAACTATAGTGAGTGTTAAGTTATAAATTGTATAAATATATTTATTTATAGAGTACTAGCTGCCCGTCCCGGCTTCGCACGGGGGGGACTTAAGATTTTTTACATAGTTTTACGTTTTATTTATATTTATTCTCAGTTTTTTTTTATTTGGGAAGTATTTACCTTTTGAAAATATTTTTCTTGAACTATTCATTAAAACGATTGTTATGGGTAAACTATAAAAGGTAGACATATGCTCTCGCGGACTTTTTTAAAAATAATTTTAAGATGAACAATTCATCTATAGAGCATTTCTATAGAGCTTGTATAACTTTAACTATATGCTCAGCGCACGCCACGGAAGGCCTCAGAAACGATACTTTTCCCCCGTTTTTAAAACATTTTTGGTTACTGCTCCACAACTATAGGACCTAGCGTGATATTATATAGCTATGTTACTTCTGAATAATGCAGCTTTCTAATGGTGAAAAAATTATTGCAATCAGTCCAGTAGTTTTTGAGTTTATTCATTACAAACATACAAAAATACAAATCTTTCCTCTTTATAATATTAGTATAGATTGTATACTCTTTGCTATTATTTATGGTTTGCATGGACGTTGTTTTCTTTTTCTGATTTTTGTTTTGTTGTCTATGGTCTGATTGTTTTTGCTAAAATAAATAGCTTCACTAGAGGACTGACCTACAGACTGACATTTTTTTCTTATTATTTAATATTTAAATATTTTGTTTTGACGTTCAAAAGTGCCTTACTGGTCTAATTGAAATAAATGATTTTGACTTTGACTTTGGTTCTCATTATAAAAAAAACAAGAATAAAAGTGTTCCATTATATCATCAGAATTCTTATTTAATCCGGAAATATTAGTAAAATCCCAATAGTGAGAAATGCTGAATAACTAAAAATTACGTAAAATATTTTTTTAAACGTTGCCCCACAATAGGATTTTCTCCTGTGTCGTGGGTGCGTTTACAAACATAAAGTTCACATACACAATGACGCCCCGACACGGAACAACAATCTGTGGATCACACAAAGAGTTGTTCCGTGCGGGAATCGAACCCGCGACACGTAGCGCGGCAGTCAGTTGCCCAATCACCGCACCAACCGTGCAGTCATCATAAAATATACTGAGAAAAGCTCTACTAGTTTCGAGACCTACCCCCCTTCGGGGACAAAAGGCGTGATGTCGTGTAAGTAAATATACAGTCGCGCAGCCTACTTCCAAGCCTAACCGGTAGGCTGCGCGACATCGCCGCGACCGCGCACGCTGCTCATGAGGAAGAACCCCTCTGTGGCTCGAAACTAGTAGAGCTTTTCTCAATATATTCACGTGAGTAACCCGCGATTTTTAGTTAATTCAGTGTGTCTCACGATAGTTATTATAAAAACAATATCTACTGCCTCTGTATTGGATTTTTTTTATTTTTTTTTACCCGGATACGAAATACTTGTCCGCCTGTATGATATATTTTAGTTGAAGTCTGTATATCACACCCCCAAAGCACAGGGGGCTTACTCTTGAATCCAAGTCCGATCGATTGACATTGGTATTGTGAAAGGCCATCACAGGCCATTACAGAAAGAACTGGCACGGTTCTCACACATAATCTGTTATACATATTGTCTGGACTTTAAAAAAGACAGACCTCTGAGTTTGTTTCGGCATTTCTTCTCAGAGTAGTCAGTTAGGAAATGTCGACCTCATCGTCCGTTTGATAAAATTGACGTGTAAAAGTGCTGCCTTGTAGCCTATTTGCAGAAATAAATTCACTTGTTTCACTTGAAATTGCGTACTCTTGAGTTGCAATACTAGCGCCTATTGCATTCGTATTTCGTGGATATTGAATGAAATAAATAGTAGTGAGTTTGTCTTTACATTCCGTACTCTGAACAGCTACGATAGGGGTTGTATAGTTTTGACATTGAATAATTATTGACTTTTTATCGGATTGAAATTGAATTGACATTGAGATTGGTTTCAAGACTAAGCTCCCTGGAGAAGATAAAGGCGGGGCGAAGTTTATAGAAGATTATAGAATTACCTTTCTTAAAGCGTTGATAAGTATGATGCTGGTGACCAGTACTGCAGCAGATCCGAGCCAGGAGAACAGCGCAAATATTATCAGTACGTTGCGAACTGAAATTAATTATCACACTTGTTAATATTTATTAACTATATTATTATTATTATTATAATACAAGTAAATGTGAAAGTTTCCCTGTTTAGACGTTTATTCGTCAATCACGCTGAAACTACTGAACGGATTTTGATGAAATTTGGTATAGAGACAGAGTATGGGCTGACTTAGGTGATGGGACTTTTTATCCCAATTAAATGCTCCCATGGGAAAAAACAGGTACCTACACGCGGGCAAAGCCGCAGGTAAAAGCTAGTATTATAATTATCATCATCATCAACAGCCTATAAATGCCAACTGTTGACCAAAGGTCTATTCTCACACGGAGAAGGTTTGAGCATTTAATCACCACGCTTGCTGAATGCGGATTGGCGATTACAAATAGATAGAGTGATTCATAAGGAAGGGTTATATGTGTAATACATGCATATTGCACCTGTGCGAAGCCGGGGCGGGCGACTAGTTATACATAGGTATAAATCTTCTTTAAGAATCACTCTATCTATTAAAAAAAAACTGCATCAAAATTCGTTGCGTTGTTTTAAAAATTTAAGCATACATACGGACAACAGACAGCGGATTTATTTATTTATTTAGTAGCGACTCGCCCCGGCTTCACACGGGTCCAATGTGCATTTATTATACATATAAACCTTCCTTAAGAATCACTATCTATTAAAAAAGCCGCATCAAAATCCGTTGCGTAGTTTTAAAGATCTAAGCATACATAGGGACAGACAGACGGCGGATAGCGACTTTGTTTCATACTATGTAGTGATAATATTTATTTATTTAATATGCACAAAGTCAGTCAAAGTCAAAGCATTTATTTCAATTAAACCATAACTTGGTACTTTTGAAACATCAACAAATACATAAATAATAAACAGTCAGTCAGTCCGTCAGTGAAGCTAGATGAAGCTAAGTGCTCATTCATTAATAATATGGACTTACCTGGTGGACTGCCAACATAGACAAACTGGTAGCTTATGACGTAATATCCAGTGTGGGTGAAGCCTGGAGTCGCCATGTACAGGCAGTACAGCTCGAAGATACTCTCCCCAAATGTGAACAGTGCCATAAACTGGAATGGACATACATACATACATAACATCACGCCTATTATCCCCGAAGAATTTAGAAGAGAAGGAAAAATAACACCTTAGCCATCAGAAGGTGGTTTCTAAGTGTGGGAGAGCCATGTTTCGGCACGAATGGGTCGGCTCGACCGGAGTGATACCACGGCCTCACAGAAAACCGACTTGAAGCAACGCTTGCGTTGTGTTTCGTCGTGTAAGTGAGGTTCCCGGAGGCCCAATTACCCTCCCCTTCCCCAATCTCCGCAATTCCTGAATCCCCAACGATCCTTAAACTCCTAATCCCCAAAAGGCCGGTAACGCACTTGTAACGCCTCTGGTGTTCCAGGTGTCCATGGGCGACACCGATTGCTTACCATCAGCTCATCCGTCTGCTCGTTTACCGGCTTATATCATAAAAAAAAGAAGGAAGAGCAGTAGCTAAAGCCTTCTATGAGGGATCAGAGACAAGAGAAAAAAAAAGCGGCCTTTTATAGGCAGAGCAAGGGGCCTTTTGTAGGCATAGGTGCACATAATGCCATTGTACAATGTAACACCCACTTTTCACTATTTATGTTATGAGTCCCACATAATAGGGGGTGAGCCTATTGCCATATACCGGACACAATTCCAGACTCCGTGCTACAACTAAGCATTAAGTGCCGTAATGTGCAGGCAGAGGCCTACCCCTTCGGGGATAAAAGGCGTGATGTTATGTTATGATGTTTATATTTAAGACCTCTATTTTGTACAAAGCTGTAATCCACAATAGAGAAATTTGAATTTGAATAAATTGGGATTTGTCATGTAGTTGTAGATAAACACAATAGCTCTCTTACTAAAATTTTAGAAGGCTATATACCTATAATAAGAAGAACAAGAAAACATAAGGGTCTATTTGATGGACTATAGGATTTACAATAAAACAAAAAAAATAATTACCAAAGCCGCTCGAAGCCGGGACGGGCCGCTAGTTGTATATTATAACAATGTGTTCTACTTATTACCTAGTTCTTATCGATAATTTCAATTAGTAAAGTCCCATCTCTATCCGAAAGTTAATCATGGGAGCGCTTCGAGGAAATAAATTTTAATATTTTTAATCCTCAAATCTTTTCTTCCTCTCTAAACCTCAAATTAATCAAAAATCCACAAAGCACTCCTTTTGGGAGCGCTCAGAGGAATAAAACGGGAGCGCTTAGATGGGCGCGCTTCAAAACCGGTGCGCTATGAGGAGTATTCCTCAAAAACATTTAACACAAATAAACAAATATTATTTTTTAACTACACAGTTGGCCCGGTTGTCTATCACGCAACATGTCACGGGTTCGATTCCAGCACGGAACAAGTTTTTGTGTGATCCGCAGATTTCCAGTTGATCGATTTCCAAATCTGAGCCTCATGTGTATGTGACCTTGTATGTTTGTAAACGCGTGTGTGTGGGGCAAAGTTTTTCCAAAAAAATAAATATTAAGCATACCAAAGTGAAGAACCCAGTAAGAAGGGATCCTCTCTGCAGATCCAAGAAGAAGGCATCATGGAGTATCGGTTTCTGATACCACGGCAACCGGAGTGACTTTAATGATTTAGAAGATCTGAGGTTTGTTGATGATCTGGAAATAGTAATATGATAAAGTCAAAATAATTTCTTTTTATATACTTAATAGTTTTTTGTTTGGCCACCATCTCGCCAGGTGGTAAGCAGTGATGTGGCTGTCGATGCAGCATGCTTACCTAATTACCTATACTTAGAGTTAGCTGACAGTAAGAATCTGTAGCAGTACTTATGTTCTGATGCTAAAAAATTTTAGTTCTAAAAAAAGCATATCAGTACTCCTGAATCCAATTCATAGACAGTGAAATTTCGTACACTTGAGTTGCAACACTAGCACCCATTGCATCCATATTGCGTGGATATTGAATGAACTAAATGGTATTGAGTTTGGCTTTATATTCCGTACTCAGAATTCTATTTGTACCTTTATGATAGGGGTTGTATAGTTTTGACATTGTAGTACTACTACTATACTATACTATACTATACTAAAGCTCTACAGCTTTTTTCCTAATTTAAAAACGTCAGCCCTATCATCTAATACAAAATTCAGTACATACTTATTAAAATAAAGAAACTAAACCTATTATAGGTTTAACTAGCTCTTAAGCATAAACATAAAATAATTAAATGATAAAGCTTCAGATGATGGCAGTACGCACCTAGGTGAACTTAAAATTGACAAGAAATATTCTGAAGCCCATTATTTCATTAGGACAATAAACTCTTATTAGTTGTTTATGAACTAGAATTATATCATCTTGAGAAGGAAAGATGAAATGTTGTATTTTTATTAAAAAAAACCTATTCTATTAAAACATATTCTTTTGGCTTTAATCAATTCAATTATTTACAAAGTTTTGACATAAAAGTAACAAACTCTTTGCATGCAAACTGTTTCGATGAAGTAATGCAATAATCTGTGTGCAATAATAATTTTTTTCAAAATGCAAAGGAGTTTTCCAATAAGAAGTGTATATGTATTGTTGTAAAAACTTACTTTCCGGTGTAATGTGAATACACTGACGGCGTTGATCGATAAGTAGAAGGTGTTTTTCGTCCGTACATGTTTATTTTTCGTTCTTACTCGGCAGAAGTTGACGCCCTATTTCCTAACGTATACAGGCACTTGTTTTGTTAGGTTTCACTGTTATAACTACATGTAAGACACTCTTGGTTATGAAATAAGCTAGTAAAGATCACATTTAACTTATTTTATTGACTATTTAATTCATAATTATCTGTTTTCTTTTAAAAAGCCACGCCTGTAAAATTGTTTGTTGCTACTTTCCGTTGTCAATTTACAATATTATACAACCAAATTAGATATTCGTAATGTTTAAAGTTTTGGCGCTAGTGTGCGACGAGAAATGCCTTTGCAAGACAGAGAAGTCGAAAATTGTTCTTCTCTTTAATTTGATAGGTTAACACATTGAGCGTTTATAGAGGCAGTTACGAATGTAACGTTTTTTAGTTTGTCCTAACGGGTAACCGGGGCTCCGGCTCGACGTGCAGGAGAAGGAACGGGGTGGTTTTTAGTCAGTAAGAGAGTCTGACACTCCCTTCCACCTCACCCAGGCGGGAGCAGTCATTCGATAATTTTCCCCCTTTAAAAAAACAGAGGTGTAGGTTTTAGGTCCTATTAAAAAACTGGTTCGTGTAAATATCGGAACAATAAATAAAATAAAATAATAAAAGACTATATTTTTGACAAAGTAAATAATTTTCAGTCAATTCTATTGTCAATTGTCACGGCACAGCGTCACCGCTGAAAATTTCCCGTAATTTCAGTAAATCGTGTTCTATTGAAAAATGGAAGAAATTACTACTCACGATGATGTGAAAACTACTAATAATAAAAATGAAAAAAATGATAAAATCGATAAAATCGTCTACAATACTTATAGAACAAATTGTGGATTATGCTGTGAGTAAATTATTTCTCGTAGACAGCAAACAAATATTAATTTCAAATCAAAAACCTTATCGATTTTTAGTATATTGTAGTCGACAATTAAAGCATATAACTTTATTCACTTATGTAAATTAGAGAATACTTGAACTTGCTCGCAATTACATGGCAGCCATTCCTTCTCCACTGTCATACGTCCAGACAGAAGCTTGTACCAACTACCAAGATATTTGAGTTAATAAAGCGTGAGGTCCCTCAATACTTATGGATCAATTTCCTCACAGCGCGTGTGAAATTGCAACCTACGCTATGTCAGCCAGAGTACTACACATACAGGCAAATGGGGGCTAACATGAATTGTATACTTTTATTATTCCATATATTTTTGCTTCTCCGATGGCGCTAGTGTCTCCTTTTCGTTCTTTATCCAATAGGCAATTAGCTAGTAATACACCATTGGACGTTCAAATTTTGACAGGTACAGTGATTGGTCCAACAGAGCTCTTGCTAGATTTACGCCATTTGATGAGCACTAAAGAAATATGGTAGCCCACATTGATTACAGCGCTTATATAGCTTTCCAACTACCTGAACCTTACAACTTAAACTATTTCACTCTCAAAATAGAACTAGTAGTTTCAGAGAAACCCAGATAAACATCTTTTTATACTTAACTCGTCGGGTCACCGGTGACCGCTTGGTGTTTGACAGTTTAATAGTCTTACATGATCTTGTATTTTTCCAGGTATTTGCCGTACACCTCCTACTCACTCCCGTAGCTATTATGGGCACGTGTTCTGCACAAGTTGTTTTTATAAGTACATCTTTACTCCAACCAAAGCTGATTGTTCCGGAGACCTGACGAAGAAAAACTCTAAAGACGCTGTTGTCGTTCAAAAGTAACAATAACAAAGTAACTTATGTGACGTGTTTTCAATAAAAAAGTGATAAAAAAGAAGTAAAAATCGTAACAGACATGTTTTTTGGTTTTATTTTAGTTTTAGCCCTCTATAGAAGGTAACAGTTACCTACTGTTGTGACGTGCGAGAAAAGAGCGCACCTGACGACGTCCATGACGAAGTCATGACCGACCTCCATGGTGTAGAGAGATGCACCGAATATTCGGTTACTATCCGGTATTCCGGCTTATCCGGCCGTTATTTACTATCCGCCCGGATACCTGATGGTAATGTACTATTTGGCCGGATACTGGGGGGTAGTAAACTAGGTAGATTTTATAAATGAAATGTAAATACACATTTGAAATTGAATCTTTTATTTTAAACAATTTTAACTTTTTATAACAAGTCAAAACCTGCACAGCGACCGGCCGTGGCGGTACCTACGCGATACGCACCTTCGAAGTATGAAACTCAAAATGTAGGTATCACATTGCCGGCCGAATATTCGGCGGCCGGATACCGAATATTCGGCTGGTGGTCAGGCCATGTCCGTAAGGATTGAGGAACCACATCACATTTTTAAAATCTGATCTCGCCATTATTTAGCAGCAGTTTAGCTTATTTTGCAGCACGAATTCTAGATTTAGCAGCAAAATATATCACTAGTTATTTTAATGCAAACATGGCTCCTCAATCTAAACGTTTGAATTGAGGAGCCACCTAGAACTCGTTAAGTAATAGATGAATATTTATGAAAATTTTGTATCATTTAGTAGTAATTTTGCACATTACCATATAAAAATTTGGCTTCTGTAGTGCTATAATTGAAGAAAATACAATACTTTTAATATGGCTCCTCAATCTAAACACAAGAGGTGAATTTCTATTTGGATGTGAGCGATCAATTAATATATTAGCATATTGATAATTTAGCAGGTGTTGTGTTTGTTTTTGCAGTATAGGAATAAAATAGTAAAACAGAGTATATTTTGTATATGAACGCATTTTCTTTGGCTCCTCAATCCTGACGTTCTAGTTATGTATATTTGACTGTAGCCACCTGAGATCTCAACGGAATCTAAAGCCAGAGAGACTAACATTTAGCAGAAACGTCTGCTAAATATATCTGCACAGTTCAGCAATGTACATATTTTGGATTCTGAGAAAACAATACTTAACTATTTTCTTGTAAATTCAATGTGTAGGGTGACCACATTATACTCGTATTAATGAAACCAAACCAAACCGTTGAAGAGTTCCCTTAACAATTACACTTCTTTATCAGACCCTTAGCCCTCTTACGCACTAGCGGTTGACCGCCTAGGCGGTTCGTATCAACAGACGCGGTTGCCATAGCGGTTGCATATTAAATTGGAGAAGCGGTCAACCGCAGGTAGCGGCTAGCCGCGCGAATGACCGCTAGTGCGTAAGGGGACTTAATGACAGTCCCACTCTATCTAGGTGTAAAGTCCTCATCGATAGAAATTAATCAAGCCCAAACACAAGGTAGTTACTATATAGGTACCGTTGAGGAGTTCCCTTAACAATTACAATACTTCATCATCAGACCCTTAATGACAGTCCCACTCTATCTATGAGTAAAGTCCTCATCGATACAAATTAATCAAGCCCAAACACAAGGTACCTAGTTAGTATAAACCGCTAAGGAGTTCTCTCGACTGTCTGTCGGCTCCATCATCAGGTCGACTCCAGACCCTTATCAAATTGTAGTGTTTAAAAATCCTAATTGAAAAACATAATAGACGTAGGTATTACTCGCCCCTACAAGTTCCCCTCGGCTTCCCTAGGATTCTTTTGGGGTTGTGTCTATATGAATGAAAGAGATAAATAAAAGTTCAGAACGCCACTGGTAAATTATAGAGGTATTGTTCACATCAAGACACACGAAATTATTATACAAAAGTGCAAGTTTAACAAAAGTACCGGCCCGGCACACCGTTATGTGAAGACTGGTCTTTATTCTAATTTAAGGAGGGAATAGCAATATGATACGACGCCCTACGCACACAGCCATGCACATGCATTTACATAGATGTGTACGTAAGTGTCCCTACAGATTCCATCATCAGATCCTGACCTCATGGAAATGGGACCATTTCGGGAGTATACCCTTTCTAACAAAACAAGAATTTTGGAAATCGGTTCACAAATGGCGGAGTATTGCGCGAATAAACAAAAAAAAAACAATCAGCCGAACATACTACCTCCTCCTTTTTTGAAGTCGGTAAAAATGTAATCTGTGGTTCGAAAAATTAAAAAGTCAAGGTAGCGGGAACTCGGAAGTTATTGAGACGGCGTATTTGGTGTTGAGGGAATTTTATTCTATTTGGAAGTCAATTTGCCTATTTATGTGTTGTTGTTGTTGTTTGTTTTTTCTAATTAATAGTTACGGTTTAGCTAGTCCTGATTTTGTAATTAGATTTCGATGTTTCAATATAAGGTGCATTGTAATGGTGCTACCCTTTATTTTCCTGCCTTCTGAACTTCTAAAATCCAGTGTGGTTTAAAACCAATAAAAAGCTTCTAATATCAAAGAGTTAGGTGAACACTATGACAGTTTTTAAGTTTTCTAGAGGTAATAATATCTATATTACAGTGATGGACTAAAAGAAGTTCCGCTACAATATCAAACTGCACTTAATTATTTATCACTTTATGATGAAACAAACATGATGATTAACTTTATAATATAAGAAATCTAAGTTAATTAGTTAATTATATATTTCGTACATGAACATATTCATGCACAAACGAGAAGACTTCACCGCTGATGATTGTTTTCTTACTTAATAAGTATTATTTTGGTTACGTAAGTGAAATATTAGTTTGTAAGTGCCCCCAAAATGTGGTCACCCTACACATTGAATTTACAAGAAAATAGTTAAGTATTGTTTTCTCAGAATCCAAAATATGTACATTGCTGAACTGTGCAGATATATTTAGCAGACGTTTCTGCTAAATGTTAGTCTCTCTGGCTTTAGATTCCGTTGAGATCTCAGGTGGCTACAGTCAAATATACATAACTAGAACGTCAGGATTGAGGAGCCAAAGAAAATGCGTTCATATACAAAATATACTCTGTTTTACTATTTTATTCCTATACTGCAAAAACAAACACAACACCTGCTAAATTATCAATATGCTAATATATTAATTGATCGCTCACATCCAAATAGAAATTCACCTCTTGTGTTTAGATTGAGGAGCCATATTAAAAGTATTGTATTTTCTTCAATTATAGCACTACAGAAGCCAAATTTTTATATGGTAATGTGCAAAATTACTACTAAATGATACAAAATTTTCATAAATATTCATCTATTACTTAACGAGTTCTAGGTGGCTCCTCAATTCAAACGTTTAGATTGAGGAGCCATGTTTGCATTAAAATAACTAGTGATATATTTTGCTGCTAAATCTAGAATTCGTGCTGCAAAATAAGCTAAACTGCTG